GTGGATGGTGAGTGGGTGCTGGGTGGGTATTGGGTGGATGGGTGAGTGGGTGGATGGTGAGTGGATGGTGGGTGGATATTGGGTGGATGGATGGGTAGAGGGTGGATGGTGGGTAGATGGTGGATGAAGCATGGTTGAAGGTGCATGAAGAGCCATGAGAAGCTGAGTTGAGTGGGTGAGCTGGTGGGTGGTGGCCAGCGGGGATGTGCAAGTGCTTGTACAGGAGGATGGATGCACAGATGAGTGGATGCGTGGGTAGACAGGTGGAAGGATGGCTTGGGGAATTCATGTGCAGATGGACAGATGATGGACACACCTTCACAGAAATCCCGCTCAGAATAGGAAAGACTCTCTAGCCACACACCTAGCAAAACATCCCCTTGAGATATCCCTGCCTGATCTCCATACCTGCACATGCACGGAACATGTAACAGGCCAAGGTGGACAGATGTGGGTGCACACACACCCCTCATGTTTGCATGTGTGCATACATGCACGCAACCATAACCCCAGACCTCCACCCCCCTTGGGTGCCTTGCCTCCATGCTCTCACTCATGCAGACGCCAGCCTCATGTAAGGGGACTCAGCTGCGAGGATGTTGTTCTCCAGTTCTCCAAGAAACATGCCTTTGTGCTAAGAGGCCTCAGCTCTGGGCCTGGCCCCCCAGGAGCCCCTCACTGTTCTGGAAGACAGAACCAGCCCAGACGCTTCCAGCCTATGAAGCCAGGGCTGGGGCAGAAGAAGGGACCCATCCGGGGCTGAGGGAACCCAATTTGCGGTGTTAGAGCTCAGCCTGTGCATGACAGGCAAAGCTGATCAGAAAACGGGATTTTGGAACTGGGCTGTGAAGGATAAATAGGAGTTCACCAGAGAAGAAGAAGACAAAAAAAAAAAAAAAAAAAACAGAAATAACTGCACAGATAAAAGCTCGGAGACCAGAAAAAGCTTGATCTGCTTGGGCACCAAGGAATACTAGTGACGTGCATTTATTGAGCACCTACTGTTTGTCAGGCTCTATGCTAGGGACTTCACTGAAAACTGATCACGAGTTGGTCAAGAGGGGGTTATCTCCCTCATTTTAAGGATGAGGGAAGTGAAGCTCAGAGAGGGCAAGTGACCTGCCGAAGGACACACAGCAGTTAGGAGATGGGGCAGGTCTGTGTCCTGCTCTAGCGGCTGGAATGGCCCAGGGAAGAAGCAGCGATCCTTCTGAGGAGGGGGAGGCAGCCAACCCTCCTGCCCACCAGGACTGATACCCCTCACCCCCTGCCCTTCCCCAGGTGGCCTGGGGAGAGGAGAAACGCCGGACGCTGGCCATGAAGACTCTCCGGGCACGATTTAAGAAGACAGAGGTGAGTCTGAGGCCACGGAGATGCCCAGTGTCCCCTAACTTCAGGCTCCCATCTCCCAGGGCCTGGCTGAAGATCCACTGGGGCCTTCGGGCCGTTGTCCCTTCCACGGTTCCTCGCCACCCACAGGTTCAAGTTGAAGCCTTTAGCCTCTGGCCACATCCTCATCCTTTCCTCTCTATCGCCCCCTGCTGCCCTGGTCTCCCCACTGCTTCCTCTTCAAGCTCTCGCACCACCAAAGCTTTGCCCAGGCTGTTTCCTCCACCTGGAACGCCCTCTCCCCGCTTTGCTGCCCCTCAAACCGCCCCCCGGTCTTCCTCCCAATTCAGCTCCAACAACACTTCTTCTGGAAGATCTCTGCTCTCCCCAGCTACAGTGACCGCTTGCTTTTCTAAGGGCCCACTTTCTCCAGGACCCGGATCTCTTGCTTTCAAGTTAGCGAATATTTGTATCAGGCGCTGTTCTGGGCACAGAGGAATGAGCAGTGAGTAGGGCAGACAAACCTCTGCCCTTGTGGAGCTGATAGCGAGTGGGAGAGATGGGCAAGATAAATAAGTGAAAAGGCATATTTTGTGCCGTGGAGACTAAGAAAGCGAGGAGAGGGAATGGGATTGTCTGGGCGGGAGAGATGGTTGCAATTTTTTTTATTGTGAAATTTTTGTTGTACATTATTGTTTGTCAGTCACCATGTAAGTGCATCCCTCCACCCCTTGTGCCCACCCCCCACCCCCCTATCCCCTGGTAACCACCAAGCAGTTCTCTCTGTCTGTGTGTTGGTTTATCT